TATTAAAATTGTTTAAATTCTCAACTATTCAGAAATCGGGTGGGTAATATCCGTATGCCCACCCTCACTAAAATAAGAGCTGCCTGTAGGTCAACCTTTTCCAGTTGCATCAGTAAGACCACAACGTGTTCGTATTCAAGGAACAGGGTATCCCGAGAAATAAGAGAAATAACAATAGGTTGCTACAGTGATTAAATTATATTTTCAGAAAAATGTCGCTCTAACAACGAATCATACAATTATGAAACATAACACTTGGTTACAAAACAGTAGGTAAAACTGAGAGAGGAGGGGCGAGAGGGGCAACAACAATGAGTCCCGTAGCTTATCGAATATGGGTCCAGTCCACATAGTCTGATCTGGTGACGTCATCATCCTCGTCATACTCCACTTCCCAGTCCCATTTCCACAGCGTGTTGTGGCAGCCCTGTGCGCAGGCCCCACAGGACTCGCGCTGACCCTTGAGGCAGTACGGCGTCGTGTACACGCTAAAGTTGAGCGCCGGATTGACCGACAGCAAGGTCTGGACCGAGACCTTGTGGCGCCAGTCGTGGGCGCAGCGAGCGGGCAGCCACCTCATCGGAATCAGCTTGAGATCACGCAGGGCCGGCACAGTCTCCGGTGTGATGGCCAGCAGCAGCTCGTCCGGAGGGACATACACACTCAGCTCGAGGTGCCGCAGCGACGGTAAAGAGGGCAGCGTCCTGAGCAGCGGCTGCAGCTGAGGGAGGAACTCGACCCCGTCGTCGTCCTCTCCTTCCTCGGCCTCGCAATTGTTGTCGATTTTCACCACCTCCACGACGGACGGTCCCGACCACGCCGTCAGTGCCTCGACCAGAGCGACCCCGACGTGAGCCGAGGTGCGGGCCGCGGGCCGGTACTTCAGGGTGAGCTCGCGGAGCTTGGGGGCGCGCCGCAGCATCTCCGTGGCCCCGAGGACTCCTTGCCGCATGTCGGGCGTCACGTGTAGGGTCACCTTCGTCAGCGACGGACCCAGGGTCTCCATGCCGGGGAGAAGCGAGCACGTGAGCTCCCTGAGGTTGGGCATACAGGCGGGCAGTGACCCTGTCGAGGTCGTGATGAAATGGAAGGGTTCTGTCAGGTCGACCACCTCTAGGGTAGCGGCGTGCCCCGCCAGCACCAGGTCGACGAAGGGCTGTGACTCTGAGCTGAGACTGCACTTGAAGTACTTGAGGGAAGGCCGGGCCACGGAAGCGTGCATGATGCTCGCGGAGAGTTCGGCGATCAAACCGAATCTCTTGAACACGAGCTTCTCCAAGCCGGACGTCGAAGCCAGCGTCCCGAGGAGCACGGCGGCGTCGGCAGCGGGTGGACTGTTGAGCGATAACTCGACGAACTTGAGCTGGCCGAGAGCCTCCTGGTTGCGCACCATGAGTGCAGCGTGCACAGCACCGACGCTGGCCACCTCCAATGTGAGCCGACGCACCGCGCACCGGGTCGTGGCGTACAGCAGGAAGTGGCCCTCCTTCGGCGCGATGCTGATGGAAAGGTAGGCCAGGCGCGGCGCCAGGCGCAGCACCCGACACAGCTTCTTGCGGCTGTAGGAGCCAATGTACAGGCCGGAGAAACGTCGGTGGCGCCACACTCCGGGATGCAGGGCCAGGCCGCCGAGCCGCTTGCACACGCTCCGGAACGTGAATAGGTCGTTGACGTCCACGTGCCGAAACACCATCAGCACCACGTCGTCGGGAAGTTGCTCCATAGCTAATGCAGACACACACGACACAAAATTCAAAGTTAAGCCACCGGCTTTTGTTTTTGTTCGCCCCCCCCCCACCCCCCACCCTTCCCGGCTCGCGTGTCCGATGCCATCGGCTGGGGTGCGATTGGAGAGCTCACGGTGAGCTCACCGTGAGCTCACTTGATAAACGTTCCCAGAACGTTTCCACCACCCCCCTCACCCTATTTTGAGCGGTTTAGAAGGCGGTCTAGAAGGCGCGGTCCGTGAGTTCACGGTGAGCTCACCGTGAGCTCTCCAATCGCACCCCTGTGACGAGTTACCCTGTGTGGCTGGCGGAGTAGGGGGGGGGGGTGTCACAACAAAGCACCATAACCTATTCGTGAAACTGTTTTCAACCGCAATTTGTGTCATGTCTTTTGTGTCTTTAAAACACACGTGTCTACGAATGTTGCACTCTGGTTGATTTTCGACTGAATGGTGTAAATTTTGTAAAGTGTTTTCTGGCTTGGCCTACGTTTCCGTGCTACGACTCTACGCCACACGCCCCGCCACTCTGGGCTGCTCTGGACAAGCTGAGAAAGGATGAGACTCTGACTGACGCAGGCTTACCTGTGTTGGGTTGGGGAACTGAGAAGCGCCGGGTTGGACTTTCCGAGAGAGGTCAAACTGCGGCCAGAGGTCAACGAGCGATGCGATGTGATGCGACACGGTGAAAAGCGTGAGGAGCTGCCTGCCAACTGCTTTTTGATGGCTGCCTGTCGCCTATAGTCGCGCCGTGCGCTGCGCATGAGCCGATGTCTCTGTCTCTCTCTCGCACAGTGACTACCTGTCTCTCTCGCACGCACCGGTGGGCTGCCTCTGCTTGCTCTGCTACGCTGCTCTGTGCTGCTGCCTAGTGGAGGAATCAGGAAAGTCCCGTTGCCCGCGGACGGAGGCCTAACCGTGTCCACCCAGCTTTCTGGAATTTTCCGGTTCGTCTTGTTTATCCTTCGCGCTAAGGTGCAATATTACACCTTACTTCGCGCTCCCCCACCAAGTGACCCTCGCGCTCGGGACGCCTTTCCGCCCGCGGCGCCGCGCGCGCGTGCCGTGCGGAAAAGTGGCCTGTGCAGCGGCACAGTACGAGGTAAGGGCTTTCTATCGCTGCTGGCCAATTTCGTAAGTGTCAAATAATACAGGAGATATAACGACAATCAGAGCAGACGCGGATCCCGCCATTTATCGTCTTTATTTGCTTCAAATGTTAAAGGCCCACATAAAAAATCTCGACGACCCCACATCCGTGACCTCATTACCTGCGCACACACAAAATCCAAGTTGGGGTCGCGATGGGATGACAGCAAATTCACGAAAACTGTTTCGGTAGGTACTCAGCAGCCTGTTTGAATCGGCGCGCGCCCATCAGCCGCCAGCCAATAGCGAGCCGAGCCCGGCGGGACCAGACCGACAAGACACCCTCTCTCCACGCCGTGGAGGAAACCTAACCGGGGAAACCCAGGAGTGCTAAAATGGACTAGCTGAACGAAATACGCCCTCCCCCCGCTCCCCCCTCTCTTTAAACTAACCTCGGTCGACAAAGAGATGGAAGGGGGGATGAGGCACTTTACGTCTACAATTTAACAACAGTTCTAAACACATTTATTACCACACTTTAAAGGTGTAACTTGTTTTCGATATTGTAAATCGTAGGGCGAGTGACAAGTAATTAGTTTAACACTGTTAATTATTTGAAATATTAAAATTGTTTAGTCTTTCAAATAATTAGAGATCAAGCGGCAAAACTGTCCGTGTGCCCGTCCTCTGTAAGATAACTAAAACTGCCAGTAGGTCAACATTTTCCAGTTGAATCAGTAAGACCGCAACATGGTCAGATTCTAGGTCTGAGGAGTTATCCCTGAAAATAAGACAAACAGCAGGTTTCTGTGGTAATTGAATTATATTTTCAGAAAAATTTCCCTTTAACAACTAACAACAAAATAATTATCTAGAAAACACTAAGAAAAACTGGGGAGGAGGGGGGGGGGGAGACAAGAACTGAGTCCCGTACTTTTAGTAGTTCATGGAATATGGACCCAGTCAATATAACTTAATTTGCGATCTTCGTTAATCTCCACTTCCCAGTCCCATTTCCACAGCGTCTTGTGGCAGCCTTGCGCGCAGGCCCCACAGAACTGGCGCTGGCCCTTTAGGCAGTACGGTCTCGTCATCACGTTAAACTTGAGCGCAGGGTTGACCGACAGCAGGGTCTGGACCGAGTCCTTGTGGCGCCAGTCGTGGGCGCAGCGAGCGGGCAGCAACCTCATCGGAATCAGCTTGAGATCACGCAGGGCCGGCAGAGTCTCGGGCGTGATGGCCAGCAGCAGCTCGTCCGGAGGGACATACACACTCAGCTCGAGGTGCCTCAAGGCCGGTAGAGTAGACCTGTTCGGTGTTGAGAATTGAGAACCGATTTTAGGTGTTGATCAATACCGGTATATGATTCGGTGCACCTTTTCTTTCGGTGAATCGGTTTTTTGAAATAGAACCGGTTTTTTGAATGAAACCGGTTTTTAAAGTAAAACCGGTTTTCACAGGAAAGACTTAAAAAAAAAACAACTAAACAGCCTATTTTATAAGTGAAAACAATATTTATTCAGGAAGCGGAGTATTTATTTTCTAAAATATTCAAAAAAGGCTCCAAAACGTAAACTTTTCTTCTGAAAAACGACTAAAGCTGAATATGAAACACAGTTTTTGACATTTCTGACATAGGTTTAGTTGGTCGTGACTCGTGAAATCCGTTTTCAACGGACAATTCGTGGGTTAAAAACTGACTCATGATGTATAGGATAAAACCGGTTGCACAGAAAAAACCGGTTCTAAATATAACAACCGGTACATAGCTAAAACCGATACACCGCCAACCCCATTTTCCGCTACCGGTTTCGATATAGCACCGGTTTTAAACCGATATACCGGTTTTAGGAACAGGTCTACGGTAGAGAAGGCAGCGTCCTGACCAGCGGCTGCAGCTGAGGGAGGAACTCTATCCCCACGTCGTCGCTATCTACCCCGACCAACTCCGTGAACCAATCGTTGTCGATCTCCAGCACCTCCACGGCGGACCGTCCCGACCACGCTAGTGCCTCAACCAGATCGACCCCGACGTGAGCCGAGGTGCGGGCCGCGGGCCGGTACTTCAGGGTGAGCACGCGGAGCTTGGGGGCGCGCCGCAGCATCTCCGTGGCGCCGAGGACTCCTGGTCGCATGTCGGGCGTCACGTGCAGCGTCACCTTCGTCAGCGACGGCGCTAGGGTCTCCATGCCGGGGAGCAGGGAGCAGGTGAGCACGCGGAGGTTGGGCATACATTCGGGAAGAGATCCCGTCGATGTAGTGGTTTCTCCGAGGGAGACCACCTCGAGGGTAGCGGCGTGCCCGGCCAGCACCAGGTCGACGAAGGGCTGCGAGTTTGAGTTGAGACGGCAATTTAAGTACTTGAGGGACGGCTGGGCTATGGTAGTGTGCCGGATGGCCGCGGCGAGTCCGCTGTCCCAATGGTCCCAACCGGACCGGACAGTCAGCTTCTCCAAGATGGACGACGACGCCACCGTTCCGAGTAGCACGGCGTCGATGGGTCCGCGGCGATCCGTGAGCCAGAGGGTGACGACCCTCAGCTGACCGAGGGCCTCCTGGTTGCGCAGGAAGAGTGCCGCGTGCACACCGCCGTCGACGTACACGTGGGTCATGAGCTCACGCACCGCGCACCGGGTCGTGGCGTACAGCGCTGAGTGGACGTCCTGCTTCGGCGGGAAGTCGAAGGACAGCCAGGCCAGGCGCGGCGCTAGGCGCAGCAACCGACACACATTCTCGCGACGTTCGGGCCTCCAGCTGTGGGAACGTCGGTACCGCCAAACGCCGGGGTGAAGGGCCAGACCGCCGAGTCGCTTGCACACGAGACGGCATGTGAAGAGGTCGTCCACGCCCACGTACTGCAACACGAGCAGCACCACGTCGTCCGAAAGCCGCTCCATCGCTAAGGCAGAAACAAACGACACAAAATTTAGCAACTGGCTAGTGCTTGTGTCCCAGCTGTAGTACACCCGGCCGTTCTCTCCCCCCC